ATGCTGGGAACCCGGACGACCATGGCAGGTTCACCAACATGCTCCGTGTCTCCCCCTTTGTCTTCGATGTCATTCTGGAACTCATCAAAGACCACGAGGTCTTCTCCAACAACTCGAACAACGAGCAGACCCCAGTGGCTCAGCAGTTGGCTGTGACACTATATCGATTGGGGCGGTACGGAAATGCTGCCTCATTCGAAGATATTGCACGTGTTTCTGGCTGTAGTGAAGGTTCTATCAGAAACTTCACAGACCGCATCTTCACTGCTATCGAATCTCTTCATGATATGTTTGTGCGGCCACTGACAGTGGAGGAGAAAGAGGCTGAGAAGGTGTGGATGGATGAGCACATGGGGTTCAAAGGGTTGTGGCGTGAAGGTTGGATTATGTATGATGGGACAATCGTGGTTCTTTACGCCAAGCCTTGCATGAATGGCCATGGCTACTATACTCGGAAGGCAAATTATGGCCTCAATCTCCAGGTTCATCTCTCTGTCTTTCATCAACTCCTCTTAATAACTTCCTGACATCCAGATCGGAAATGTCCCTTCATCTCTTCGTATTGCTGACTACTCTCTTGGCCACACTGGCTCTGCTCATGACTCTGCTGCATTTGAGGGTACTGCTGCATTCAAACATCCCGAATGGCTTTTTCAAGGAGAAGAATTTGCCTGGGGTGATTCTGCATACACCCTCAGTTCCCGGGTCATCCCTGTTTACAAGCGTCCGGCTGCCCTCCTCCCCGCAAATGCAATTTTTAACACTGCAGTTTCGCACATTCGTGTTCGTTCCGAGCACTGCATGGGGGCGATCAAGGGTCGATTTCAGAGCCTTCGTGGCCTCCGCGTCAACATCAACTCCAACGATGATCATTACGAGGCGATGCGCTGGATTACCGTTGCCATTATTCTTCACAATCTGGTTATAGATGTTGAGGGAGAGAAATCTGGGGCAGAATTTGGGCATATTCATACTCGAAGAGAAGAGGAGGAAGATCGTGGTGGCCGGGATGATCCAGAACGTGATGATGAAGCGGAGGGGGAGGCTAAACGACGGCGGTTGATTGACGAGCTCCTAGCCTACCGAGAACAGCGATATAACTAAATACGAACAAGCGATTAGGAATATTAAAATGTGGCTACTGAACAGATGAAGATGAGGAAAATTCGCCTAACGGGAACCAAGGTTCGGGTCAGAGTGTGAGAACGGAGAGTCAGATCTGTAATCCGACGATGAGGAGTGGGACCTGGAGTGGCGCAGTGTGCTCGGTCCAGCGACTGGGGAGGGAGACCGTTCGGAAGGAGGTTCATACTGCTCATTGACGAGTCGAATCCTCTCCCGGAGAATATCATCGTTGAGTACCCCGATTTTGTGCAGAGAAATGAGCTGGTTGATCTCGTCAAGGTGAAGACGACTGCGATCGAGCTCCAACTTCGCATTCTCGCGTTTGTTGGCAGCGCTGGCCATGTTCCTGGGTGAAAGTGAGTTCAAAGCTACAAACAAGGAAAAGGAAAATCGTACATCTGGAGCTCGAGAAGCTGATCTTCAAAACTTTTTTTACCGTGACGGGGATTCGCGGCCTGTACCTTGCTGACTGCACTACTGAAAGTCGAAGCAAGATCTGCAGACTTATTCACAGCACCGCCAATGTTCGGTTTGGTACGCGGGACCAGAGGTGAGGAAAGGATCTCAATAGGGGTTGCTGGATCGTCAGGACTGGTACTGCGGTCTCGGCGAGGGGTTTGAAGTGTCGGGTCGAGAGCCGGATCATGGGTGGGAGCCTGCAAATGAACTACCTTTCGCCCCTGTGGTCCAACCCCAGTCGTAAGGACAGGAGGGACAATATTGGATCGAGCACCGAGGAATTTGTGGAGGACGGGAAAGTATGCAAATCGCTTCGTGATGTCCTCTGGGAAAAGGTTATTGAAAAAGCCTGAAAAAAGAAGAATTCTGATAGCGCACCCCAGAGATTTTGCGCCTTCTCAGTGGTATCGTGGTCGGGGCCTTCGGGGGAGATGTAGCATTCGAGGAATTCGTGCACATCCTCGCCGCTGCCTTGATCTTCATTTCGAAGGCCACTGCCAGTTACCTGAAGCTCCTTGGCGAGGGTCTTGTACGTACCAACACGACTAGAACAGTGCAAAGTGTGAGTCATATGTACATGATTAAATTACACGCACTTACTCTTCTGCCTTCGCTTTGATGCGTTTTGCCAGAGCATTTGGGGCTTTGGAAGAGAGGTCGGGCATGATTACGCCACCAAACCTCTTGTATACGGCGATTTTACTGTCACCTGAAGTGTTCTGCCACTGGTAATCCATAGATAGCCGGAAAATGGGACTAACTCGGACGCACCTCATTTTTTTCCCTCCCAAAGAGGACAAGCCGGTTCTCCTTCCTCTCCATCTCCGTAATGAGGGCCCATATGAGCTTCCCCTCGTCGGCCGCCCACTTGATCTGCGGAAGCGGCGGCTCCTTCTCCCGCTTGCTCTTCTTCGGCTTCTCGTCGTGCTTCCGCGGGGATCTACGAAGCGGCACCGCCTTGGGCATCGGAGCGAATTATTGATTAGGTAGTAGATTTCAGGGACTTAAAGAATGTGTGTGGTGTGGGGAGGGTATAACGAGCGGAAGTGCGATGTCAGACGCAGCGAAAATTTCTCAGTCACAGGCGCCGTGCGCTTGCCACGCGCCGAGATACTGCCGACTCATCGGGCTTCTTACAGATCACTTGTCGGCTCTTGCCGGCGCTTGTACAAGCTTGTACAAGTATCAAAAGTTGACAAGCCGACAAGCTCACAAGTCATGTCGAAAAAACGACAAGTTCGGAAAAACGAAAAAATTCTGAGTGGGTACATTGAAGTCTAACCATCATTTCCGTGCATTTATTTTTTCGCAACAAGTGAAAAAAGCCGACAAGCCGACAAGTAAAATGTGATTTTCCTGATGGATGCCAGATGACTAAATGCGTCCGGCGAAAATGCGCAAATGCGTCCTGCGCGTTTCAACTTTGAGCTCCCCTAATGTGTGTGGTGTGGGGAGGGTATAACGAGCGGAAGTGTGATGTCAGACGCAGCGAAAATTTCTTCCGTGACTCTCAGTCACAGGCGCCGTGCGCTTGCCGCGCGCCGAGATACTGCCGATGCCAGATGACTAAATGCGTCCGGCGAAAATGCGCAAATGCGTCCTGCGCGTTTCAACTTTGAGCTCCCCTAATACTGCCTCAAGGAGCAAGCTGCAAATGTGACTACGTGAGGAGGTCAGGTGGGAGAAGGAAAGCAGCATGAATTAGGAACCAGAGTTGAATCTGTTGGGGAATACTTGCACATGGGTAAGCTTACTGGCAATGAAGAGTACATTGCAGAGGACCCCCTGGACACACCGGAGAAAAAGAAATGAGGTAGAGAGAAGAATGAGAATGACACCAGGGGTTAAAGCCAACGCACCCAGGATCCACATGTGTTTCACACATGTGGTCCGCAGGTGGTCAGCAGTGTGATCGGCTGGACAAAGAGTCTTTCAACAGACTTATTGTTCTGCTTAACAAAGTGGCATTTATTATTTGATTAGATAGTGCAAGATAATACTGTTACTTTGGCAGACTTATTTTTCTCTTTGAACATATAGGTACTACACAAAGATTGTTTGTTTTCGCGAGCCACGAGACAGACAAAGATGCTGTAGTGCATTGAATCTGCTATAACATCAATTTGCACATGACAGCAAGCGTGAGGTGTACGTGCTAGAAAAAAAAAAGAACGCAGAGAGACTACTCACATGTGGTTATTACAACCTCCAAAGAATGCACAGTGAAATCAGGAATAGGGAGAAGCCAGTGCAAGAGGTCCGAGAAGAAAAAGGTTGCCTCCATGACGTTACTACCAAGTACCTTATTGTGATGAGGAGATCTACCACTGATCTACGAGGGCGTGATGGAGGGTGTATTTCAAAGGATAGAGGTTCATAACCAAGAAGAGAAAACCAGAACATCTGCATTTACACAGGGGGCAAACAAGTGGGCACTTGTCATAAGGGCAACCCAACGGCAACCCACGAGCACTTGCTGCGGCACTCGTCGCGCCGCTGTTGTTAGCTTATGTAATTCATACATTGTCCCGTGTGGGTTCAATCCTGAGCAGTGACATCTTTTTAAAATTTTCAATGCCAATGGCTGTAATGATTTAAATTGCATGTATTGTGGATTCCAGGTCAAGATAAATACATACAGGACAGGATATACATGTTTATAATCCATATCAGTCCTGGATAGAGCGCTGTTGTCAACTCAAGGTTTATTACTGTCCAGATATTATTTTCAAGGAGCATTGATGACTCTTTTAGAGCTGTGCTTAAGCCCTTGCCTTGCCTACCACATCAACAGGGTAACCAATTGTTTTGCCATATATTATTAGGGTCAATGTCCTGGGTGAACCATGGAATGGCTTGTTAAATCCCTCTGCAGAAAATTTCTTCTCCTTCTCTCCTTGAATGTACCTTATTCAATGGCCCAAAATTCCATCACAGCTATCACATACTCGGTTTCCATCTCTGCACAACACTTTCATGGAGAATACTATGTATATTGAATATTTGCATGGAATTTTGGTAACAGTGTTATTCCACTATCTCGTCAATAAATTGAAAGTAAATACTGCATATTCATTGATCTTTGACCAATTGCTACCATATATGCAGTTCCAATAGTTACTGGTACTGCAATGAGTGACAAGGGAAAAAATAAAAAGATGGCATTGCCCAGACTCGAACCCATGCGCGGAAATACCCATATTACATAAGCTCACCGGCAGAGGTGAGCGAGTGCCGCAGCAAGTGCTCGTGGGTTGCCGTTGGGTTGCCCTTATGACAAGTGCCCGCTTGTTTGCCCCCTGTGTTACCTATGGCACGTTGCCTCCGTAAACCTTTATGAAGTACCATATTGATTGGAATTGGGATGAGATGAGAGGTCCGGAACAAAAGGAAAAAGCGGCGAGTGTTCCACCCTATGCCCTTGGGGGGAGTCGAACCCACGTTGCCTCCACAAAGGTTTACGAAGTCCTTTTCATGGTGAGGAGGAGATCTACCGTTGATCTACGAGGGCACGATGGTTGGGACAGGGGATGGGATGTGGGATGTGAGGGGTGAGGAGAAGGAGAATGGCAAGACCCGCGGTTTCGGAAACGGCAAAAATGGGAGCTGAACCCGCGTTGCCTCTGTAATTTTGTGGCCGCAAAAATTGATTCATAAAGAAAACCCCGGTAGTGCATTTGTAAGGGATTCAGGATCGAAAAGGAAGGGGTGCGACCGGTGCGTAACCAAGGACACGGTGGGAGTCGACGTGATCCCATTATGCAGTCTAAATCAAGAGGATGGGATCTACGGTGGATCCACAAGGGTGTGATGAGCTAGTCGATGAGGTGGGTGATCCACCTCGGTGGGAAGAAGAGATTGACTGACAAAGTGAGCTTACTGACATGGAGGGATGAGAATGCGAGAGGAAAAATTTGAACCCACATGACCTCCATAATGCCAAAACAGAAATGGAAGGAGGGATCTACCGTTGATCTACGAGGGCATGATGGTGACTCGGTATGCGTGCAACCTGAGATCGGAATTCAGACGAGCCTGGAACAGAACAGAACAAAAGAAAGAGTTTGAGAATGCTGATCGCCCTCGGTGGGGGTCGAACCCACATCACCTCCGTAACACTACGGGTATCAGATTGTAAGGGGGAGATCTACCGTTGATCTAGGAGGGCGTGATGGGGTGGCTACCTGGGTGGGAAGATCTAATGAGAACAGATTGATTGACGAAGGAGCTTTGAGATGGAGGGATGTGATTGTGGGAGGGAAATGAGAAGCTGGGAACGTAATGGGATGGGTGAGAACGGAAGGAGGAGGAGGAGGAGGGGCTGTAACAGAAAAGAACAAGAAAAAGCATAAAAAACAAAAACAAAAGAAGTTTCGTACTGTGCCATTGCCCGCGGTGGGAGTCGAACCCGCGTCACCTCTGGGTTGATCTTGCTTTTATCATTATATAGAGGAGAATTGCCGCTGATCTACGAGGGCGTGACGTGCAGGAGGGATGAGAATGTGAGAGGAGGAAGGAGCGGGAATGTAGGATGGGATGGGATGAGGAGGAGGAGGAGGAGGAGGAGCTGCAACAGAAACAGAGAAAGAAACAGAAAAAGCGAAACAAAATCACCGTCCAGATATGTATTCCCTGAGCAGGAGTGGAACGCACGTCACCTCCATACGTCATTTTGAAGCGGATAATTGTGGGGAGGAGAGCCACCGCTTAGCTACGAGGGCGCTACAGCGTGTCTGCATTACTACCTGTGGGGGGGATGTAAGTACATGGGTTTGAACTTGGGGTTGAGACTCTGAGAGAGCAGAAGGAACGCAGGACCAGATGACAGACAAAACGCGCGAAAATTAAATCTGTTGCGCCGGGTACATATTCAAACAGGAGGAACTGAGATCTCAGAGATGCGGAACGAGCCAGTGAAAGGACATGGAAGATGTAGAACGAGGAAAGCAAGGGTTGTTTGCCGCTATTACATCCGCACGCCGACACCTTCCGATCCGGGCCAAATCCAATCTCATCGCTGCCACCATGTCGTCCTCCTCGGCAGGCTACCCCCCGCCCGACGTCGCGCACGCCATCGCGCTCATCCACGCCGCCGCCGCCCCGCCCCCTCCCTCCCAAAACTCACAAGGTCAACCACAAAACACGCAAGACGCCTACATCCACTCGATCCAAACCGCGCAGTCCGCGCTCCTCGCGCTGCAGCGCACGCCCGCCGCCTGGGGCCTCGTCCTCCCGCTCCTCTCCTCCGACGAGGTGAACGTGCAGTTCTTCGGCGCGCACACGGCGCATGCGAAGGTCGCGCGCGGGGAGCTCGAGTCCCTGTCTCCGCAAGAGCAGCTGCAATTGCGGGACGTGCTGGTGAGGGAGGCGGGACGGGCGGGAAGGGCGCGGGTGGTGCGGCGGAAGCTGTATGGGGGGATTGTGGCGATTGCGGTGCGGCTGGTGCCGGGGCGGCCGGGGGTGTGGGAGTCGGGGAGTGATGGGGAGGGAGGGGGGTGGATTGGGGAGGTTGTGGGTGCGCTGGTGCAGGCGGGGGCGCCGAGTGCGCATGTGCATGAGTTTTTGGCGGGGGTGGCGGAGGATGTGGGTGCCGCGAGTTTGTTGCCGCAGCCAAAGTAAGTTTATTTCCTTTGTTTCATTTTATAACGCTGTCTTTCCTTCGCATACTCGTATTTCATTCTGTCAATTTAGCCTTTCTCATTTTCTGGGCGATGCATGCGGCCATCTTCGCGCATTTCATTTCATTTCACTTTAGTCTCATTGATAGATTCTAACCTCTGCCTCGCAGGATCCAGCTAACCCAATCCCTCCGCGCCGCCGCGCCCCTCGTCCGCAACTCCATCCTCGCCGTCCTCTCTTCACCAATTACACAAACACCAGACGCCCTCCCCGCCGCCCTCGCGTGCCTCACCGCGTGGCTCCCCGCGGGCGTCCTTCCGGGCCAGGACGTCGCGCGCGTCGTGGCGCCGCTTATTGCCCTCTTATCTGCGCCTACCTCCGCGTCCTCGTCAATGACGCCTTCACCTTCACAAGACCACGCAGACGAGGCACGCACCGCAGCAGCCACCGCCCTCGCCGAGCTCCTCGCGCGCCCGCCCGCGGGGTGGGGCCCGAAAGTGCTCCTCGAGCCGCTCTTCGTGTGGGTGTGGCAGGCGTTCCCTTCCCCGTCGCCCTCCCCACCGCCCTCTTCCGCGCACTCGGCAGAAGCCCCCGCGTACTCGGACGCACCACCGCCCCGCACCGAGGCGCGGCGCCTGCGACGCGACATGCGGCTGCTGGTCGCGCTGGGCGACGCGGGCGTGGAGTGGGTCGCGGGGTGCGTCGTGGACGCGACGCGCGTCTCGCTCCCGGGGGCGGGCGGGGGCACGGATATGGATGTGGGGGCGAGGGCGGCTGCGGAGGGCCCGGCGAGGGGGGGGCTCGCGCGCCATTTTCTGAGGGTTATGTTGGCGCTGGGGGCGGTCGATCGGGGCGGGGCGCGGTTGCGTTCGCGTGCGTCGCCTGCGCAGCCGGGCGGTTTCGCGGGAGGGGAGAACAGTGATAGAGGCGGTGACGATGGGGCGGGAGAGGAAGACGATGAGGATGACGACGACGATGATGGGGATGGGGAGGGCGACGAGGGCGCGCCGCTCGGGTTCTGGTATCTGCTGCAGGAGGCTTTGTGGGAGGTTCCGGTGCGTTTGTTTCTTTTGAGTTTCGAGTTTCTTGTGTTTCGAGTTTCGATTTTGTTAATCTTGGCCGGGGGTTTTCGTCGATTCTTTCCGGCTGGCTGGCGATCCGCTTGATGCGGTAGGTGGCGCGATTGTGCGTCCCGGCTCCCGGCGATGTATCCCCTTCGCCTGCGGGAGAGACGAGGCGCTGGCGCGGGGCGCTTTCTCTTTCTTCGTGCGCCCAGTTCATTCTGGTCGTGGTCTTGCCCGCGGGGATGGTCTTGCCCGCGCGCCGCCTTTCTCTTTCTCTTTCTCTTTCTCTTTCCTGTCCTTTACTTCTTCCCCTCCGCCCTCCCCAAGCTGACCCTCCCTTCTTTTCTCTGCAGGTCGCGAACGCGTACCTCTACGACGCCGTGCACTCCTCTGCCTCCCTTTCTTCCACCTCCTTCCCCCCCTCCTCCTCCACCTCCGCGCACTTCCCACCCTCTACCTCCTTCCCCTCCTCCACCTCCTCCACCGGCTTCCCCCAAAGCCCGCGCACGCCCGAGCCGGACTACGCCGCGATGACGGACGCGGAGCTGCGGCGCGGCGCGGGCGGCGCGGGGGGGACGCCGTGGACGCCTGGCGTCGTGCGGACGGGGAGCTATGCGTTTGGGGGTGCTCCTACTCCTACGACTACCAACAATCCGAGTCACACTCCCAATTCGTTTGGCGGGGGCGGGGGAGCGCAAGATGAAGATGGGGATGAGGAGGGCGAGGGCGAGGGTGAGGGCGGGGGAGAGGGCGAGGGAGGGGGAGGAAGGGAGAGGGGGTCGCCCGCGCACGCGGCGCGCGCGGCGCATGCGCGGGCGGCGTACGCCGCGCTGGTGAAGATATTGCGGGGGAAGGTCGTTTGGGGGCGGGGGCGGGGGTGGGACCGGGAGCGGGTGGAGCGGTTTGCGGTGTATAGAAGGGATGTGGGGGATACGCTTGTTAATGCGTGCGTGGGTTTTTTTGGTTGTGGTCGAGCGAGTTTTCTTCTTTCCCTTGCCTTGCTTTGCGCTTGCGCCTCATTGTCCGCTCCGCGCTTCCTCCGTCCACTCGCTCGCGCCCTTCCATACCCGCCTCCTTCCTCTTCTCCCCTCCCTCTTCCACTCCTCTGTCCGCTCGCCCCTCGCCCACTCGCCCCTACTCCTCCTTACATCCCTCCTTCCATCCGTCCCTTCATCCGCTCGCTCTCCTCTCCTCTCCTCCGCCCCTTCCGTCTCTCCGTCTCTCATTCCTTCCTCTGTCCTTCGTCCACCCCTTCCCCGTCTCTCCGTCTCCCACTCCATCCTCACCCAGTCACTGACGCCCCCGCAGGTACTACGTCCTCCGGGACGACCTGCTCGCGTTCTACGTCAGCGACGTCGCCGCGCGGCTCGAGGGCGGCGCGGGGTGGGCGGTGCGTTCTGCTCCCGTGTTCTTTCTCTATCTTTCACTTTCCACTTTGCCCTTCGTTTCCGCTGATCCCTTCGCCTGATCCCTTTCGCCCTCCACCCCTCTCCCTCCCCTTCCCATACCCTACTTCCCCCCGCCTTCTCCGTTCCCGTTCCCGTACCCGTACCCGGAATCCGAATCCAAATCTACTCCCATCCACTGCTCCCCTGAATCCATGCCGCCCTCTCTTGTGTCCTTCTTTGCCTCTGCCGTTCCCTCTTCCCTCCCCTCCCAAGTCCAATACTCACCCCCCCGCAGGACATCGAGGCGACCCTCCACTGCCTCCGCGCCATCCACGAGGCGCTCGACCCCGAGGCCGCCGCGTCCTCCCGCGCGCTCCAGGCGCTCTTCGGCGGGCGCGTCTTTGGGCGCCTGCCGGGCGGGTACGGCGCGGAGTGGTTCCGCGCGCGGGGGAGTATGGACCAAGGAGCGGAGAGCGCGCGGGCGGAGCGGGAGGACATCGCGCGGGTGCGAAGGACGGCGCTGGGGCTTGTTGGTGCGTTCCTCCTCTTCCTTCTCTGCTGGTCTTTGCTCCGTGAGACGTGATGAATCACGCCGCTGCATCTTCCGCTCCGCGTAATGAATGGATGCATGCTGACGCCACGCACAGATACGTACGCGGCGTGGTTTGCGACGCAGGCGCCGGAGGCGCTGGGCGCGCCGCTGCGATATGTGCTTGGGGCGCTCGCGGACGCGGAGCCGGGGGTGTGTTTGCAGGTGCGTGTTTTTCGCGGTGTGAGAGCCGCTCCGACCGCTGACGCTCCCTCCGTCGCCAGGGCGCCCTCGCGCTGCGGAGCCTGTGCGACGCGAATCGACGTGCATTGGCGGGGCAGATCGGCGCGTTTGCGGAGGTGCATGCGGGGATTGGCGGCGTGCCGGTGCGTACAAGCTCTGTCTTCGCTTGGTCGGCATCGCTGACTGCCCGCAGGACTCGGAGAAGGGCAAGGTGCTGCAGAGCATCGCGAGCGTCATCCAGGCGCTGCCGCCCGCGGAGGCGATCGCGCCCGTCGAGGCGCTCGTGGCGCCGGTGCTGCAGCGGCTCGGGGAGGCGCTGGGCGCG